AAAGAGTGGTATCTGAGCCTTCTTCAGGTTCCTGACACAGTGAAGTAGAGGAACAATCCCATAAAGGATTTTTTTACCAAACTTTCCCAAACCCAGGATAAGATGCCATTTACAAATGGTGAAAGAAAGTGGTGGCAGCTCCAAGCAGCCTCCAACATCTGGCCAATTTTTCATTTCAGATGCCAGTCTGATTTGATGGTGTCAGCAGCCACTCTCCCTCACATGAGCAGCCCTTTGCCAAGACACTGGTAACTGAGGAAGCTACTTCTGCAGACTTCATGGATGCAAAAGAGGAGAACCTCTCCTCTCCCCACCTTCACAGGTGCTGGTGGCACCTGGGCCATGGCGCAGAGCTGTGAGGGATGCCAGAGGCACCAACCACAGGGGTAGAAGACAGTCGTGGCTGAGGATCTTCTTCATAGCTGTACGTGTCCACTCTCGGGAGTCTGTGGCCTGATGGCTACCAGGGGAGCTGGCAGGGGGCCTGTGGGCAGACAGGGGACAGGAAGAGGAGCAGAGAGGACCTAGGGCACCATCTGGTGGCTTCACTCACTTCCCTAAATCCATGTCTCGCAGGGTCACCGTATTGCATGGCCAAGGGCCGAAGAAACACCAGGTCTTTCCAAGAGACAGCCCAGCGGGAAGGAGAGAGCCCTGCCCTTGGCCCAGAGTCGCACACCCGTAGGGCACTGCTGGGTGGGACAGCGGTGCAAACCAGACTGGCAGTAACTGTGGCACAGGGGTACTGCTCGGTCAAGCACCTCCCTCAGTAAAGAACCAGCCCTCGCTGGATATTTAGAGATGATTGACAGTAGCGACACCCCTCAGAAGGAAAAAGAAGACAAGCAGAAGACAGAAGTGATGAAGGAGAACACTTTGGACTACACCTTGGACATGCATCTCATTGTTATCTACCACAGCAAGATCTTTCTTATCTGCAGATAAAGAGAAAATATAGTTGGTGTGTTTCATATAACAGAGCAGTACCCATGCAAGAGCTTGTCCTCTGTGGAAAAGCATGAAACCAACAAACTGCTTGCTTTGATAAAGGGGTCTCCACTTCTATGAGATCCTGTCAATACAAAGGGATAATCCAACATCTGACAATTAAAGATTACACCACCATAGCCATGCTGGGGGAAGCAAGTGGAGCTGAGGCCCATAGGCACACAGTTTTTAAGGGGAATCCGTTCTCAACATTCATTTTAAAGCAAAACATGCAGAGTGAACACAACACGCCAGTCATTACCTCTCACCTTTGTGGAGATGGGGAAAGCTACCCTTAATTTCTCTCTTTTTTCTTTTTTTTTTTTCAATAGCTCAGCACTTAAAAATGAACTAACTCGTGTCCTCTTGCTAATAATACTCATTTTCTGCATGCATTTTCATGGCCCATAGAGCGAGGTTAGACAAAAAGACCAAATAGTTGCCTTTTTCGAGAACAAATCTCTGTTACAAAATAGCTATACCAATATTATATAAATTAGTCTCTCCCACCTGTGCCTGAAGGCATTTCCTCATACCTCCCTGGAAAACTCAGTACCATTTAAAAACAGCCCTGCTCATACAGTCCTCTGCTTTATGCCACTCCCTCTTGCACACTGATGCTACTGCAGCTGCCCATGGCACATGATGCAAAAGAAGTGATACTGGCTTGCAGCTACATAGCTTCAAACTCCTTTTTTTTTCTTGCAGCAGCCTTTTACTCCTGCAGGGCCAATCCAGATCCCACTGAAATCAACACAGCTTTGGTGCCCAGCCCAAACTCTCAGACTTGCCAGCATTTCTTGGAAATTTTTACTTTTTCACTTAATTGATCAGAACCTGGTGTGATTCTTTGAGGACTTTAGCACTGCCTATTCTGGAATAGCCTTTTCTATTCTTCCTCTCATGTTTCATTTTAAACAGGCTCAGCTACTTAATATATAGAATTGTTCAGGCATAAATGTAAGAAACATGCTATTTAAAAAGGCAACAGAAAGACAAATCAGTTCACTGCAAAGTGAGATCCTTGCCAGAAAATTTCCAGTAGCACCCGGGATTTTTGCATTTATAAAATTTAAAAAGCAAAACACAAAAACTGAGCAGCATTATTTCTAAAGATTTCATTTTTCTTCTAACCTAATGCAGTTTCTGCCTAATATTTTATTGCCATACTGCAACATATCAGTAATTCACCTAATAATTTCTTTAAATTTGTTAAGAAATTGTTATACCTGTAAAATCCTCTGTGAATTCTTCTGTGAACACAAATGTTTTCTGGTCATATTCGTAAAGAGCAAAATTGTTGACTTTGAAAATATTTATTCTTAATTCTTGCACACACTTAACAAATGGAAAATGGGTCTAAGAAGCCATGCTGTCTATTCATTGCTCTTTCTGAAATGAGTTTCTCAACACTGGGAAGAGAAAAAGCATTTTCCTGTGGTTAAAGAAAGTCCAAATTGCATGTTTGAAATCTCTTCTAATAAAAAGAGCAAAGCAATAAGCGGATTATCTCTTTAAACATAGTATAGGAAGGCTGGAGGCCCCGGAGACATTTTCCATAGCCTCTATCTCTGATGCATGGCAACATTATCTTCAACTAGAGAGGGTCCTATGACCCTGGAGCTCAATTTTAATTTGATCTTCTTTTCTAAAGACGTTTCTATGATTCCTCTCAAGTTACGCTGCATATTCTTATTTTGGGTTGGTTTTGTTTGGTTGTTATTTTGTTGTTGTTTTTTAATCCAAGATAAAACAGCCCCAGCTTTTTGATCCACTGTTTTGATCATGTTATATGGTTATTTAATGTAACCTCTCCCCTATCAGGACTAGAATACACATCCTCATAAGTGGCAGGCGAGTTACAGCTGACAGGAGAGAGAAGAGCTTGGATAGAAAATTCACCTCTAGGGCCTCCCTCCAGTTGTTCTAAGTTTCAGAATTGGTGTACCTGGCCAAATAATGTATGGAGGCGGGGGTAAAGGAGCCTTATACCCTTGCTGGGAAATACTGGCCAGCGGCAACAAAGGCAAGCCTGCTGGTTTTGGTGGGACAGAGGCACCACGTCTGCTCCCACACAAGCTCAAAATCCCAAACGATAACGAAGCCTGTTGCCAAGAGGAACAAGAGACTGGGGAGTGCAGCTTGAACTTCTCTCGGCTGGAACCTGCCCCAGACCTGCTTGGCTTATGCAGCTCCAGCAAAGGAGCTTCCTCGGTTTCCCACCTCCTTGTTCCTTGTTCTGGAAAGGGCATTGCTACTGAAACACGTTGCCAGGCAGGGATATTTCTTCTGTTTTCCTTTTCTCCATCTTCATCTCTGTCTGTGCATCCAGTCTTCACCATACACCGCTGATGTTGCTGAAGGGAAACCATTTACTCGGAGGCACTGATTTGAGTCGGCTGAGTATGGTCACAGCAGGCATCTATGACTACTTGATGGGATTAGCAGATTATGAGAAAGCATGTTTCACTGTGGGGTTCCTGAAAAAGGAAAAATGGGCAGGTGGAGGCTTAGATCTTGGTTAAACTATGCATGAAGGCCTGATGGCCGTGTCAGGAAAGCCGTAGGCACAGGATCAGATGGAAAGCCATAGGCACAGGATCAGATGGACTGCTGTTGGTCAGGATTGGAAGATCAATCCAGCAAGAAGAGAGGCCTCTGGATTGTCCCATCATTTACAGAGGATGGAGTTTTAAGTATTTCAGCCATGCCAGGTAAGAGAAACATGCACATATCCCATCTGCACCACTTCTAATGTTGAAAAAAGCAGCTTTTCTTTTGCATCAAATGGCTTTTCTGCAAAATAGCTTTGCTGCATGGATGCAGATTGAGCCCTGGTGAGATCTGAACAGATGCATTCTGGTGTTAATGAAGGAGCCGGGGGTTCACAAGTCCCTCATGGCTGTGCCCTGAAGTCAAAGTGGATCTCTGCAGAGAACTGGGGATGTAAGAGAGTAGTCCTGCTGTATCAAAAGATGTCTGGTCCACAGAAGATCAGAACTTCCCTGTTAGATATTCTCATACAATGTATCAGTGGATTCTTCTAGAGTTGCTTGCTTCCTAGGTGTCTGCGGAATGATGAAAAGGAGAAAAAAAGAAATGGAGGGAAATTATTCAAAAGATGATGAATTAATTCTTAATAAGCAGGCACTGACGCCTGTTCTTTTAGAAATGGCTATAAGCAATCCGCTGAAATGGAAGCCACCACCATGAGAAATGTTGCTCCACCGGAGACAAATGTGACTAATCCTGCCCAAGGGATAAAGATGCCTCCTTTACTTGTCATTCTTCCCCAAAAAAGCTGTCAGACAGGAAGGGGAGGGAAAATTTGACTTGGTAAAAAAATAAATCACTTTGGATTCTGTGAAGGAGGAATTCCCTGACCTCCTCAATCCTGTTTCTTCAACAGTTGAGTCTATTCCACACGACCGTTCCTTGCGTAGACAAGGTGCTGACAGACTGATATTTTAAGCACTGCGTGGCACAGGCCTGCTGTAAGCAAGGTTACGCAGCAAGTAGCTGAAATGCCACGGGGTGAATGAAGCCCTACCTACACTAGCATTTTCTCTGTTGCTACCAGCAAAGGGAAACATTTTACAAAAGTGCTGAGTGCAGGCACCTCCAAAGCATGCGGGATTAACCCCTTGCTACCCGAGCTGGCTGATAGTCCAGGGCGAAAATGTGCAAATGTCTAATTTCGGGGGCTTTCTGCCCTGCGTCCCTTTACAACTGCCCCTCCACACACAGCATCACGCAGCAAGGACTGGCCCGGACCCTCTGCAGCAGAGTCAGCCGGCGTTCAGCAGTCCACAGGCCAAACCCACTGCCCCACAAGTCTCGCTCTTGGGGAAAAACACCCCGTTATATGCTGGCACAGCCAGCTGGAGGATGAGTATCTCAGAAGGTCACAGCCCAGGATGACTGAGCGGGAAGCTGATCACGGTTCTTGCAACAGCAGTGGAAAGCGCCGTTGAGTTCTCCTGTACAGAGATCATGGGGGCCTGCCATTCACACTTCCTTCTAACCAACACAGGAACTGGAATGGTTACAAACTAGAAACCAGGAGGTTCAGGTTAAACATAAGGAAATAATTCTTTACTGTGAGGGTGACAGAGCACTGGAACAGGCTGCCCAGAGAGGTTGTGGAGTTGCCACCTCTGGAGACTTTCAAAACCTGCCTGGACATGTCCCTGTGTGATCTACTCTAGGTGATCCTGCTCTGGCAGAGGAGTTTCACTAGATGATCTTCAGAGGTCCCTTCCAACCCTAAGCATTCTGCAATTCTGTGATTCTGTGTAACTGAGGATGCTTGGTGGTGTCTGCTCTTGGTGTGAGAGCTCATCCCACCCCCTCTCTTTGCTTTCTGTTCTTTTGTTTCTCCCATCTCTGCTTCAACCTTTACCCCGCCCTGCCTGAGACTACCAGTGCCAGACCCCCTCACACACAGATGTTCCTTTGCTTTTGCTTTGTTGCTTTTCTCCTGCTCTGTTTGACAGACCTGCTGCCCCTAAAGCAGCAGTTGAGTGGTGTGGGCCACACACAAGCAATTCAGCACGGCCCAGAAAGATCCAAAGTAGGGAAAAAGATCCCACACAACCTGCATCTCATCATCCAGGCTGGATTATTTAGAAGGGGACAGCTGACAAAAAGGTATATGGGAGAATACAGAAGACAGGGAAGAGGGATCACAACCTACCATTCTCCCCATCCAGCTAATTCAAAATGCAGCAAGCACACCAAAGCAGGGATGCTGTCTTTTCAGTGCATATGATGCACTGGGCTACAAGACAGCCTGTATTAAACAACCCATCCTTCCCCTCAGTAATCAGACACCTGTCACTGCCTTTGCTACCACTGACCACTGTGGTGCCACAGCAGGAGGCCAGTGGCCTTGGGACCAGACAGCGTGGCAACTAGCTCTTACGCAGAGGAGGCCGCTTGATTCTAGACCACCTTTTCCTAAGAGATGAGAGTTGTGAAAATACCTCAGACAGTGGAAAATACTGTCCTTCACAAAACAGAGAGATGGTGCCAACTGAAGCTGGCACCGTGCTCCATACTGCATAGGCAACCTGGGGAACCCTCCCCAACAGGACATCAGTGGGAGGAAGCAAGAGACATTTTTCACGAACATTTTCCAATGTCAGAATGGTGAAGATATTTTTTAAGCAGATAAGAGATCTGGAGGGGAGAAGAATAATGAAATTCTGAGGACAGGAAGGAAATGTTCTCCAGGATGCCTGATGCAAGTTTTGTACCTATGAAACAGCTGATGACTGACAAAGGCCATTGGTCTGTGTCAGGTGGCCACAACAACTGATCTGCACCTGTATATTCCAAGTTGTAGCTGCTTTCATTGTGAGTGACTTCAGTTCTTTGTCACTAACTCGTAACTCCCAGCCCAGCAAGAATATCTGAGCCCAAAGCATACCCATGCTGCCTTTTCCCAAACCCCAGAGCTGACAGAGACTCTATCAGCCCAGCCTCTGTTCAGACCATCTTAGCTTATGCTACCAAGAAATGGCACTCGGGTGCTTAATGCTGGTGAGTGCAAAGCTGTGTCCAGGGTCTGCCTCAGTGCACAGATTCCTCTATTCCAGAGGAAGTCTCAGATGCCTAAATAATCTGGAAAGGGCAATAATGGGGACCAGCGTCTGGCCAGCTCTCCCTGAACGTCCATCCCGTTCAGTACAAGCAGCGACGCCAAACCCCTCCATGCCTTTCAGCGTACGTCATACGGCAAAGCATCTGCGTGAAACCGGCACTGCCAGAAATGGTAGAACTGCAGGAGCAAAGGTTCCACCGGAAGAGGGAAGACAGGCTACATGTGCAGCCCAGCTGGCGAGTGGATGCCATGTCCCAATTTCCCCTTTCAGTGAGACTAGAGACACACTTACTGCTTGCTAGGGCTGTGGCAACTCTGCAGCTTTGCTTTCCCCATGTGCCCAGTGCATAAGTGAACTTTCCAAGAACTGAGCTGCAGCCCTTACCTTCTCTGGAGGACTCACTCCGGGTGATGGGTTGTTTGTGTTGTTCTCAAGGATGGAGTAGACATCAACTTGCTGCAAATCCAGGCACTGCTCAGGGAAGAGAGAAGAGAGCATGGGTAAAATTACTTACGTTTAAGGTAATTAATTGCCCACTGGGCTGTTCCCCATCCTGTGCCTGACACTTTTTAGGATCTCTTTGCCATCTCCGCTATTTTGAAGTTCCTGACTTGAACCTGGGCAAAATGAAAATCCTTTCCCCCTGAATCTTTACAGTGCAGCTGCATCATCTTCCTTTTTCAGGCTCACAGAGATGGGCTTTGATGTGTAAGGCACTGGAGAACAATGCCAGTGTCCCTGCATTTCTCCATTCCATATTGTCCCAGAATGCAGAATAAAGACCCCTCTGTCACATGAAAGGATATCGTCTGCTGGGAGGACCACAGGTAGCCGGCAGTGCTCTGCGTTGCCCAAGACTATTCAGGTACCTGACACCCACAAGCTCTTGCTCGTGGTTATTCCAAGCACACAATGGTGAAATAAAGGTGAGGCTGAGGTCAAGGGCTTGTCAAAAATGGGAAACCCTACACTGGGGATGATTTTCTATTTATTTTCTGGGGTTTTTTCCAAGCCAGAAATTTCATTTCTTTTCGGAGTGAGCAAAGAGTAATAAAAAAAATCAATACACTGCCAGGCCCTCAAACATATCCGTGGCCCACACAGCTACACAGAGAAACACACACATGCCCTACATGGGTAAGCACCCGCTGGTCCCCCAGGTAATCGTGTCACAGGAGATGCTTGTCAGTTTGAGTGATGTTCCAGATCTGCCTGAAGGATCAAACACAACAATCGGGAGAACTTTTCCATGTGTGTTTCAAGGATGACAGCAGGTTGCCAAGGTGGCTGTTTCTCTGGCAACAGGAAGATGGGAGGAGCTCTGGCCGCAACAGGGGCAGATGGTATTAGTGGAGAGACTGTAAAGGGAGCGAGGAGCCCTGCAACACACTGAGGAGGACGAGCAAAATGAGCAAAACATGGAGGCTTGGTTTTGGGGCTGGCAATCACCTGAACCCCCATCATCTCATCCAGAGCTGCATCCCAACAACCCACTTGCCTACACAGACATTCCCAACAATTCTTATGCGTATATGCACGCACAGAAAATCTCACTTCCCAGTCCTCATTTTCAATCCTCTTTGCGATGCTCACAGTGACGACCTCGTCCCACGTGTTGTGCTCCCAGCAGCCTGGCTCCCTGTCCCCTTGGCAGGACAGGCAGTCTCTTTTGCTGCTCCATTCTGAAGCCGCTCACAAGCCAGGAGGATCCTTTTGGTGTTTAACCACCAAAAAAGATTCCCTCCTTCCACAAGCCCTACTCCCATGGAGGCTGTTGACAATGCTTGTCCTTTGCTGGCCAGTTGGAAAGCTGGTGTCTCCAACCACTATTTGCAAATTAATTACTTTTACTTGGTCACTGGCCACCTGCTACCGTCACAGCGGAGGCACACAGGCCTCTCTCCTCCCTGCTGGCAAATGCCTTCCCATCCCTGAGCAGCCTCCTAGTCTTCCTCGCACCAGGAAAAGCTCCTGTGCTCTGGAACCTGCCTGCACCACAGGAGTTCTGTTTGTTGCTCAGAAAAGCTCGTTTGAAGTGTAAAGCAGATGAAGTGAGTCCCTCTGACTGTTATTTCCAACCTGCTTGTTAGCTAGGCAGCTAAGCTGGAAGACAGAGGAAAACAGAGGTTTAGGTCTGAGCAGTGCAGTGAGGTAGAGCTGCTCCGAGGCTGCAGGAGGACAAAGAGGTCAAGGAACACCTGGCAGTGTAGTGGGAACAAAGCGGGTGCCCAGCGGTGACAGGGGGCATTTAATAAGCGGCACCAGCCAGTTCCAAGCCCTTACTTGGATGACCAGCGCTGCCTCCTGTTGCTCCTGCTCCCGGCTCCAGGCCTGCAAGGACACTGTGTTCCCCTGACCCGGGTTTTTTCCAAACCTCTTGCTTTCCCGCACAGACAGCATATCTGACACATGCTGGCCTCCTGTCCCATCACCTAATCTCTGACCTCCATCTCATCACTTGGAGGTACTTCTCACTTATCCTTCCCTTTTCCTCACCTTTGCTTTCCCCCGATGCTGACCAGATATTTTTGCCCTCTCCATGAATTAAGCACTAAGCATTCAACATCCAATTTAACACCAATGGACTTTCATAACACACCTAATTTCAAACACAGTTTGCAGCCCTGGACTTACACCATGCAGAGTGCCAACAAAATTTAGCAGTGGAGCACGAGAGTCATCTTTCAAAGGAAATAAGGTTTGTCGACTTCGCACAACCCCTCACCTGTCCTGAGGGCCCATCCAACGCTGGGTCTCCATCCCAGGGCTCTCGCCCTCTCTCCCCGGTTAACTTCCCGTTACACCTCAGCTGTGTCTGCCTCGGGAGTTGCTGTTTCACCCCTCAGTGAGTCACCCTGCAGCAGCCGCTCCACCACAAAGAAACCTCCATCCAGTGGGCAGGCTCCTACCCCCCAGCGGGCAGGAGACAGTCCAAGGGTGCTTACAGCTCTGCCGAAGAGGGCCGAGCCGCCTGCCCTGCACACCAGGCTGGCTCCAAGCCCCACACAGCTGGCAGGTGGTTAAGGGGCTTCGGAGGAAAGCCCGGCTGGGCCAGGTCCACCGGGCTCCTGCAAGTCGAGGGGCTCAGCCAGCTCCTGGGACTGCCTGTGCCTAAGGCTGGCTCTGCTGGCTCGCTGTATTAGCCTTAGTGGGGCCTCCTGAACAGAACAACATGATGAAACATGTAATTAAGATGGAGCTAAGGATGCATGACGAGGCCGACTGAGCGAGAAATGGATTTGATTTTTTTTTTTTGGTCTCCTTGCAGAAATCATCCATTTTTGGAAACTACCCGTTCGGATTTTTATAAGCCCAAATTAAAAAGAAATTACTTGATACAAATGGAAAGGTTTATAACCTGCATCCTCCTATACCCAGAGCATTGCTTTTTGCCCAGAATAAACATATCACATGCAATACATAGTGCTTTCTTTTAAACCCTTACTCCAAAAATTAAGGGGCCACAAAACGATGTACAAAGTGGTGCTGCAGAGTGAGAATGAGAAGGGGGCAGGCCTACCCTCTTGTTCATATCTGCCCCCTATCAGGTCTCTCGCCGCCTTGGCAGAGCTTTGCTCCTCTCTGTAGTACATTCTCCAGAGCTTTGCTTTGTTTACTTTAAATGATTAATGCAGCAGAGCTTACAGGTTTTCCTCAGAGAGACTTTTCCAGCCCTCATAGACCTCACAGGCAGAAAGGTTCCTAATATTCAGGGAACATGCTCCTCCACTCACTTTCATTTTATTCCTCCTTGAGCGTCCCACAGATCATGGGGAGAAAAAACCAAACCTTCCCATCTTAGTGGAGCAGCCCTCCCACGGGAGTAAAAGGAGAAGAAGGAATCCAGTTTAAATGGAGCTGGATGGGTTGTAAATGGGATTAAGGGTCATGGTTACTCGATGTAGCTGAGGTCTGTGCCTGACATTTCAGGAGAGCTACTCCAATCCTATTACTTATGACACTGTGGCTACTGGGCTCAAGGAGTGGGAGCAGTCAGAGTTCCCCCGTTTCGGGAATGGAAAAGGAGATCCTGTGTGATGGAAAGGGAAATGCTCCAAAAAAAGACTCCCTTCACTTTCTTCCTGCCCTTTTCCCACAAGAACTAGTCAGCCTGCTTGGGACTGCACTGGTCGGTGACACCAACACTGGTGAATGTGTCACAGCAGGAGCTCTGAATAGCTGGGGTTGTTGCGAGGAGCACTTATCTCTGCCCCTTTCCTGAGCCGCGATCCTCCAGCTGGGAAGGGCATGTCCTTGAGACACTCTACGGTACAAAGTGGGGCTGAGATCCCTTCTTCCTTCTTGACTTGTGCGTACCCTTCCACTTCTACCACCAGGAGCCCTCTCTGGCCCCACACTTGCTGCTCTGTGCTGCCACGCTGCTGGCAGAGGGAAGGCTACTGCCCCGCTGGGCATGAGGCAAGGCTTTGGCACTGAGGACCAGGATGGAGACACGCAACATGCACCATCCTGAGAAGAGCTAAGCAGGGCAAAGCACGGGAGGAAGGTCACCAGTACCACTACAGAGGTGTTACTTATGCTTCACATCATGACACTGGTGGTGTCTGTACCATGGCAGGGCAGGGAAAGGAACGGTTATACCATGATGTGGACAGAAGGGATGGAGGATGATTCTGGTACTCACATCATACACAGGAGGTGGTGGTGGTGGTGGTGGTGGTGGGCTGGCTGAAGGGGGCTGCGTTTCCACCTTCTGTCTCAGGATATTTAGCTGGCTCCTTCTAGGACACAACACCTGCTCAGGACAAGACACCAAATGACACATTTGGATAAACTATCATCTCCCCAAAGACGAAGTGAACACCAGTCTCCTGTCAAAGCCAGCTGCTTGTGTACCCCCTGAGCGCTCCCACAGTAAAGCGTGCTGGCACTCTCTGTGCAACAACACAGGCTGGTCCCTTCCCTCACCACAGGGTAAAACAGAGGGGTCTGATGACTTACACCTGGAGCAGTGGAATGGAGAACTGGGCTCTGTGCATACACAGAAATCACTCCCACCACCGAAACTTGGCTGGATGGAGGGTATAAGTATTTAACAGCACACAACAATGATGCAGGACAGCGAGTAGAGCAGGGCCCTGTTCAAAGCATGCAGAGGAATTTCAGAGAGGCAAAATGCAGTACTTTTGTCATTATTGGGCTGGGAAGCTTTTGCTAATACACGGTCTAGAGAAGAGCACCAGGCAACCATTAATGATGACATATAGTCAGTGATGCACTAATGTGCGAGTCCAGCATGGAATTGAAGGAAGCAGGTCCCTTCCTCTAAAATGTTTCTTGCATCAGATGAGTTCTTCTTGAATACGTTCCATTCATGCACAGATAAGGGTTAGCCCTGCTCGGCAAGAAAGAAAGGAGGCAGAAAAGGCAGAAGGCTTTGCTAAGTATCGCTGTTCTAATTCTGAAAGAAGTGGGATGATTATATTCACATCACATGAAAACGATGAACGGCTTTCCAGTCCATTAGTAACTAAGGAGGATGCTAAATAGCTTCTCTTAAAGACAAACATTTTAAAATCAGCAGGTCTGAGCAAGCTGTGGTGAGAAATATGGGCTGTGTTCTGCGGGAGGGCAAATGTAATGACTGCACAATCTCTTTGGGCCCCAAGGAGAACCCATAAGTCTAAGACTTTCTGGCCCACCTCAAAATTTGCCAGTTGACAAATGCCAATCAACAAAATCATGACAGTGCCTCCATCCTCATCCCCATGGAGATGCTGCCTAAGCAAGCAGAGGTAGGGGCTGGTCTGCAGCCTAGTCACTCTGCCACTTACACTCCTTCCCCCTTTGTCAGAGTGCCTGCAAGGTAGGTCTCAGGAGATTAGCAGGTCTGCAAACTGCTGCTGTTCTGTTTTCAACCTCGTGATCTCTGACTCTGTGTGTGCTGAAGCCTGATGCTCCCTGGAGTCGTACGACTGTACCAGCAGCACAGCCTCCACAAAAAAAATGCATGCAGAGAGTCTGCTCTTGGGGTGGAAGAGAGTAGCCTTAAAGGGTAATATGGGGCATACTCTACCTAGAAAACAACAATCCCCAAATTCTGTTCTAAAAGACATCTTTGTGTTTGTGGGGTTTTTTTAAGCCACCCTTGAGATCTCTGGAAAAATACAGTGGATGATATTTAACACCTGAGGGAGGCAGAACTAGGTGCAATAGGTTTTCCCCAAACAACAGGGATTCCAGTATCATGACTCCAGAGTTTTTTTTCCACAGGGGTCCTGTCTCATCCAGATCTTTCAACTTTACTTTTGGGTTTTCTTCTCCTGCTCTCTACATCCTCTCTTCCCTACTCCTAGTTTCCCCTTTGCCCTCAGCTACTCATCTCAGGTTCCACATCCTTACCCAGCTGGTTTCAGCCTGTGCCACTAGTCTGCTCACTTGAGGGACCCTGTCAGTCCAGTCTTGACACCCTTCACCAAGCACCACTGCTTCCTCGCTCTGGATTCCAGTCCCAGTTTCCCTCCTGAGGCTCCTTCTTACAGCCTTGTAGAATCACTACTGCTGGAAGGTGCCTCTGGAGATTGTCAAGCCCAATCCCCCTCTGCTCAAAGTGAAGTCAACTAAAGCAGGTTGCTCCTTGTCTCTCTCTTTTTTTCCAGTTAGTTGGGACTTCCACACAGGCTTCCTTGGGGTCCTTGTCCTGACTTTCCCCTCTCACTCTGTCTCTTAGCATTCTCTCTGCCAAACACATGCCCAAGGCTCTGATCCCCATCCTCTCAAACTGCAAATTGTTTTCTTCTATGGTGCCCAAGCCATGGCTCAGGAACGCAGTTCCACAGTCTCCCTGCGATGAGGTTGTGCCCTTGAACCCGAGCAGCCCCCATCTTGAATGAGTCAGGTGCTGCCCTCCTCCTGCCACCAGCGCTGCAACAGACGTGCTTGGGTGCTGTCAGACTGGCACTGTGTGGAAAGGCAGCCTCACGGGTGCTTCTTTGGACAACTGAGCTGCTAAATGGACAAGACCCGCGACTGAGCGTGCACGAACTGCAGTCTTCCAAAAATCCTTCACAAGGCTACATCTCTTTGAGTATTCTCAGAGCCAGCATGCTGCTAGCATGACTTCTTGCCCTGTGTCAGATCCCTGCTCTAAAGCAGAGTATGCCAGAGTCAAAATGATTACCAGGATTTCTTTAACGGACAAATCAATGACTTGCTTTGTCCTTCCTGTAATCTTTTTTTTTTTTTCTCAGAAAGACTGAACTTAAAAAAAAGAAAATAAACCCAAGGCAGACACCCAACGTGGAAAATTTCAGCATGGGGACTTCCAATCCAGCCAAGTCAGAAGCAAATGAAATTAATTCCTAGAATGGGTCATGTCAGGTATTGCTTTTTGTTTGGTTATAACTTGCCTTTCTTTTCCACAGAAGCAGAGCTGTTGCGGTGATGCTCAATGCAGCAAGAACAACAGTAAGGGTAATGAGGATTTCCCACCCATAAGAGGTCTCTATGTACCCTGTATCTGTACAAAAGAAAGCAAAAGATTCACAGCGTGAGTGGAAGTTACAATCCTGTTCCATTTTTAACCCTGGGAAAGAGCCTAGAGAGAACTAAAATACAGAAGCAGTGCAGAATATGGTGGCACAGATGCACACACCCTTCAAAGCATAGTCTGACAGAACAGAGAGCAGGGTGCAGCTGAAGAACGACACAAAAGAGATGGGATATAAGCAGCTGCACAACAGGTAGGTTGGAAAGAGATGCTGTAACTACAAGAGCCAAGAAAGGTGGTAGGTAGAGGCTGGTAAAGGTCTTTAGTGGTTGGGGCAGAAAGACAGATAGTGGAAAGCACACAGGCCACACAAACTAGCAGGGTGGGCACCGTAGGCATCCTCTGACCAGCATAGCAAAGCTATTTTGTCACAAGTCTTTGCATTTACACTTTCTAAGAAGTTTTTCATATCATTCAGTAATGCAAATCCAGCCAGTCAGCAGCCTGCACGTCCTTATCACTTTTACATAGCATTCCCCTTACATTGGCATGAAGCTCTCCCTTGTTTTCTAGTCTGCTCATTAACAGAACAACTGACCCCTGTACCTTGTGGAAAAGGGGGAGGGATTATGGTGAGCCCCTGACCTGTTCCAGAGCCCCTAATGGTGAGCGCTTATCCTGTACGTTAACTATTGGGCATCATAAAGTATTATTCCCACCTGAGTTTGAGTAGAGGAAAAGAAGAGCAAAGATCATCTTTTCATAGCCAAATCCAGCTGATTTTTAATTGCCTGGCCTTTATTTCTGGTTGTTCACTTACCTTTAGCAAGGACAAACACTCCATTTCCCTTTTTCTTGACATCACTCCATCTGACCTCACAGTAGTATGTGCCAGTAGAAGAGGTGCTTTTAAGTGGCATGATTACGTGGTCATACGACATGGTAGCCGTCATATTCTCTTTTCCAGAAGGGATGGTTACGGTTTCTGACCTGTTGTAGATGGGTGTTTGGTGGTCCAGTGAATTAATCCAGTAATAGAAGATTGAAAATTTGGTGTATTTTGGCATGTAAGGGAAGATGACTTTACAGGGGATGGATATTCCTTCCCCGAGCAGTGCAACCTGGATCGGAGGTTTCTGCTGGACATCGACATTTCCCCCTGTAAAGATAACAATTTTTAGCAGTCACCTAACAACTCTTTAAGTCAGGAGAAGACTTGCTGCCCCGAAGACTGGATCGCATGGTGAAAATAGGCGCACGTCAGGAAGCGCGCCCGTAGCTCACGGCATCGGCCCTTGTGAGAAACTGAGCGATTCCGAGCACGTGCCCTGTGCGATCTGCCGCATCTCTTCCGTAATTGCCGTGTGATTTGTGATAGCCTGTTGCATTCACAGGCTTCCCCTTTTCCCTCGTGAGTTCCTCCGCACAACACTAGCAAGCAGAAGGACAGGAAATGAAGCAGGAAGTGAACTGATTTTGCAGCGGGGTGAGACTATATTTACAGCAGATGAATAGAAAGCAATATTCCAAGACGAACGCTACCTGGGCATCTTCCAAAGCTCCTCGGGCATCTACGCGTGGCCGTGCGATAACTCTGCGCTGGGGAAGGTGCTGTAGGCAAGCAGGTGTTATCAGTGGGACTGTGTATTTCTGAAGCACGAGTGAGGAAGGAAATTGCATATTCTGTACGAGGACCAGCACCGGGGCCCCAAGAAATAAGACACAGCTTAATCGCTCCAGACTTTTGCGGCTCTAAATGGGCAGCAAAGTGCCAAGACTTGATGGTAGATATGGGAGCTATCTGCAGAAGACTGCAGATCTTAAGTATCTATACACCACTCTCTTAGGCAGAGAGATGGGAGATCAAGCCCTTCATGTGCTTCCTCCTTACACAGACAGGGCTGTTGAAAATGATCTCTCGCTGCAATTCAGTAGCCAGCGATGCTGGTAGTTACCAAGAGAGAACGAATAAGCACAGATGGGGAACCACATCATAGTTCACTCCTTGTTTCATTTAATAAAATAAAAATTTAAAAAGCAAAAAGCGAGTCATGGGCTAGCAAGGACCTCTGTGGCTTCCCAGCCAAATCTGGGTTTAACATCTGGATCTATTTGTTTGGCAGCTGATATAACACCACATATAAAGCAACTTACTTAAGAGGAGGCCCATGCAAACCATCACTGTCTTTAAAAAAGGGAACTGGGAAGTTACACACAAGTCTTCTCACAAAATGAAGGATTCTTTCAGAGACATGAACATAGAAGGGGGGGAGAGAGAAAGCAGGAGATGAGACAGGCTTTTCCGCTCATGATTTTGATGGGATTCCTGGGGTTCTGCATCTACTAACAAGCTCCTAACAAGGTGTTAAAGCTGTCCCAGAGCACAGCCAGGCTCGCTTTCCTGACGCTTTGCACTAACGCTGCACCACAACAGCAGCATCACCTCTGCACGGCAGGACTCGGCGTTGGAAAGGGCAACTCAACCTCAGTGCTGCTGAAGGCCGAGCACTGAGGAAGCACCGTGGGGGGCAATAATGGAGGGAGGACATGGCTCCTGTCAAGAAAGGACTCTTGGGAAGTAACATCTGTTGAGGAAAATCCTCTACAGATGACATAGCGAGGGACAACAGCCTGAGAGTAAGGAAGAGCTTAGGTCACATGGCTAGAAAAGTGTTCTGAGCTGTAAAAGCAACTGAGATACAGTACAGCTTGTTCGTTGTGAGTGCAAAGTCCTGTGCACACGAGATACAATCTTAGAGAAAGACATTAACTGGAAATTCTGCAGACACTGTGGGAGTGATAACCTGAGTCTAGGCCTTATTTTCTAAAATAATTCATCACTCATCCTTCTCCTCATCTCTACCCAGCAGAACACACATGAATATAGTTTCTATACAAGATACGGCTAAGCGGTGCTGTGAAAAAACAGAGGCGAGATCCATCTTCTTACAGTATCCCGGGAGCCATTAGCTTGAGAAGAACATGCCAGGGAAAAAGCCAGACCATTTTATTTAGGTTATCTAACCCTTCTCCCATGTTCCTCCTTTCTTGAGGATTCTCTCTCTCAGCTTTGAAATGCTTAAAAGACAGAAATAGCAGCAGCATGCAAATTCCTAGAGGGGATCTCTGGAAATTAGCAAAAGATAGCAACTGGAAATGCTCTAATATGAACAAACATAAGAGTAAACAAAAGGAATACAAAAACATTTTTTTTACCTCCACACTGAAGCAACCCAAGAAACAGGAAGATGACTTTTAGATTACAGGCCACGACAGGGGTCAAAGGCTGTAGGAAATCAACTAGACACGAAGATCCAAAAGGCAAAAAAGACAGGGGTTTGGTGGATGTTTCCATGCCCAGGCAGCTGGTTGATCCCCTCCTGTTTGCAAAGGGACGGGCAGAATGGACACGCACAAGCTCTTCCTGGCAAATGCGGGCTCTTCTGCTTTTTGGTCAGACTCCTCCCCACACCGGGGTTTATTTCTCCGTACTGTCACGACGCTGTTACATCTACCGGTGAGTTTTCAAAGATTAGGCCGTAAGCTCTTTATGGATGTGATCAAATTCAGGGAAGGATTCAACAAACTCTGGAGTAATGGACAAGCTTAAAAGTGGCACAGTGGGATTTTTTACCATAATTTTGCCAGGGTTTGTTTACGCAGTTGTTTTGGAACTGCTGTTTCTGATTATCTCACTGCATGGACCATCCAGGTTTTGGGACAAGGGCACCTTACTTATCTTAATCAAGTGTCACAGGGTGTGGTTTCAGGACAGAGCAGCACCATCAAATTCCTCCTTTGTGTGAACATGCAAGTGTGGGATCACCTGTTTTGCCTTCAACGCAGAAAAGAAGCCCTCACATCAGCAGCCAGTTCAGAGAAAACTTCCCTCCACAGCCAACTCCTGCACTAGGTCACTTTGGAGGAAGGCACTCCTATTCCAGAAGTCAGAAGAAGCAGACAGCGAATTCACCCCTAATGCCTGGGATGTTTCAGATCCACACAACACAGTCTCTGAATCAGCTTTGCAATGCAGGCAAGCCTTAAGAAATCTATTGTAGGGAATTTTTTTAGAAAAAAAGTTCTTTTTTTTTTTTTTGTGTGGGAGGATCCTACCGCCTATACTCATGAAGACCCTTTGGTATCAATGAAAGCTTGTTTTTAGCTAAGGCATCTGCAATGCAACAGTTGAGCAGCGCCCGATTCGAAAGAACCAAACTCTGATGTCTGAGAGGTCTTCACTTCTCTCTAGGCAGCTTCCTCCTTTCACACTTCTTGTGAGACATTTGCACTGTCCGCAAGAAAGCACTCTCCTGCAATTTCATGGGTGCCCACTCACACAGGGTGCTGTGCTGCGGAAACTGGTGGGGGAGAAAGACCTACGAAGGCAGACGATCCTGTAAAGTGCGCCTCGTCAAAATCCTTGATAAAATCCTCGTTTTATCCCTCCGGAGTTCATAGGAAGGAGGTTTTACTCCAAAGCAACCTTCAGTTTACAGCGTTTTTCCTCCCTTTCAGCCTGGGACAGGTCTGCCGGAGGAAGGGGTCTTGACACAGAGGGTGGCTGCAGCTGCGACCACTGCAGCTCCCTGAGCCTGGGGATGGCTCTGGTACCTTGCTGAGAGCCCTGACAGATGGGGAGAGGAGCAAGTGGCTTTGTGTGGCTCTTTGCGAGCCTGGTGCAGCAGCTGCACTCCTCCAGGGAAGGTTTAGCTCAGATTAGCCAAAACTAACTCCTCTCCCTGAGACACGCTGACGTGAGCTGCATGGGGCTGGTCTCAGCTGAAAATCACTCTTCTTGCGGGTCTTAACACCAAGCAGAGAGGACAATCGAGAGACATAAGATATTTGGGACTCACTTGGTATTTTGGATACTTAGGCACAGATCAGGCAGCTGCAGCTCGGGAGGGGCTGTTGGTTCACAACAGTGCTTGGCAGCATTTCTCTGGCCTGAACAGCATCTCGAGGTAGTTGGGCAGTGAGGGAGAAGGGGGCAGGTGGTCACTATCCTCCTGTGGAAGAACTTTGCTGAACAGCAAGAGCTTCCTTGGCTCTTATACCACGCTCATCCCCATGGTAGCGCAGAGCTTTGCAATTTCCAGCATTGATGTATTTCTAGAGGACAGAACATGCTGCTCTTGTCAGGGATGTGTTTTAACTGTTATCGGCATTTATCTGCTTCAGGAATTCAGAGCGATAAGTGGATTAAGTGCGGTAGGTTTGTAGGGCTGCTGGGTCAATGTCAGCCTTCCGTCCTTTCCCTTCTCTACCTACTACCTATAAACAGCCCTGTTGCCACTCTAAATGCCAAATCCTAGAAATATCGCTGTCTGGAATTAAAAAAAAAACCCAAACCAAAATTTCAAAAGCGATCACACGTAAAACTCAGCTGTAGGATTAGAGGCACGGCCAGGCCAGAAATACAGTCACTGCTGGGATTTGCTATGGTAGAGCTCGCTGAAAAGAAATGGCTTTGAAACGACTACCCAGCAGCTATTAACTGCAAGACAGGATGACATTCTGTTCCTTGGAGCCTAAAGGAAGCCTGAATCTTAAATTCTAATCTTAAATTCTAATTCAATTTGGTCTGGGGATTTGGACTGGGGTTTAACCCTGGAGACATACACAGGAGGAGGAGGAGGAAAAGCTGTGGAATTGTGTGTTTCTATTACCAGCTTGTAGCAGGGCTGAACTGATCCCCCCTGAAACTTAGGTGGAACTAACCAGGATACCTGTACCAAAGGAAATAAATTACAAAGCTCCAAAGAAAGAGATCATTGTATGACCTTCACTCATGCATTATACAGTACACTGCTGCACGTGAGCTGCTCCTGGCAGCGTGATAAGGAGGGAACTGCCTGTCCAGCTGCAGGCCCACCACAGAGCAGACCAGCCCGAATCTGTATGGCTTGGTCCCTCCTCTGATGCAGCGAATGCTCATGTCTTCCTGAGCCTAAATACCGGATCGGGCTAGGTGCTAGCAACAGTTTCTGCTCGTAGCTGCAAAGCAGCCATTCATTTCATTCAAGTGCTGTTAAAAGCCCGCGACAGTGGCCACCAGCATTCCCAACAGTGGGGAAAAGCACTTTGTTCTGGCGCGTGCAAACAACAAGTTTGGGCAAGTGCTGAACCTACCAGAATTGCCTGTTCACGGCTTTGTCCAACATGCGCTCATGAGCAAAGGTGTGCGCGCGCGCACACACACACACACACACACACACAGAGGCATCTATGTGCCCACACACGTCCCCACGCATGCCCCCGCAGCCGCCTCCAGGGAGAGCATTTATTCAAACAAAAAGGCTGCTGCTAGCCAAGGCCGAAAAAGCAGTGCTGCAGAGACCACAACAAAGCCTCTTTATTGCTGAAGCGTTTAACACTGCAACCATCCAAACGAGAAACACCGCTTGGCGCAGAAAGGAGCTGCAGCAGCTCAGTGAGCCTGATTGCAGAGAGTGCTTCAGAGCCTTCCCCAGCGCGGCAAGCGCCGGATTTGCTGCCTTGTCAGAGACCAGCTCAATCCCCCGTCGCTGGAAAGCCAGCCAGCGGCAACTTACGCGCCCCTCCGAGGATTCGCAATCTCTTTGACTCCTCTAACCCCAGACTTGGAGGCGTACAGCTTCCCTCTGTCTGGTGGCAGCTTCCCTCTGGCTGGTGCAAGGAGCGATACGACAGCCAGCACGAGCAGGGCCGAACCTGTGCCAGCATTTTTAGCACCGTTGTGTGTCGAGGGCGTCTCAGCAGGGCTGGATGATGCCGAGGTAAAAAGCTGCCAATGCCCTCGCTATGCTTCTACCCGTTGAACTGCTCTAGGGAAGAGAGCAATCAGCGACTCGAGGGGAAACCAGGGAAAGAAAGGTGTTGAAATTACTGGGGGGAAGGCAAGGGGGCACTCTGTAATTCCCTTTCACCGTCAGAATGAGTCTGCCTCAGAAATCGCCTTGCTCCTGCTCTTTTTTCTGCTCAGTGACTGGAAAGATTCCCAGGGACTAAACTGCCAACACGCACCTGACGGGTTCTGGGGGGCTGACGCAGCGGGGCTGCGCCTCAACCTCACCAGTGCTCCCCACTGCTCCCCTTCGCAGCCCCCCTCTCACAGCCCCTGCAGCAAAGCTGGATTTCGCTCAGGAGGACATCTTCACCTCCTCAGGCTGACACCTTCCAGGAGAACCTCCACCTGGCCGGGCCTGGGGCTGAAGTGGGGCCAGAGCTGCTCTGCTCACAGCCCCGTGGGCCACGTTTGATCCACTCCCGCAAGGGGAAAGGCGGAGCAAAACCAACCCGCACCGGGACGACCGGCGG